GAGAAGATAAGTAGTAAAGTGCTGCAGGTTGTGTCCAAAGTTTTCAGAGCTCTGACAACTAAGAACCGAACCATTTTCTTGTTAGCTTATAAGTCCTATGTAAGGACCATTAATAGAATATGGCACTGTCATTTTCAACCCTTATAAACGTAAAGTTATTGACAAAATTGAAAAGGTTCAGAACAGCTTCACGAGAAAGCTCATGATTAGAGTCATTGGATTTCTGTACAACACCATCCCCTCCGCCGCGGACAGGAACGCCAACTTTGGCCTCCGCTCTCTCTGCTGGCGTAGAAACAAGTTCGATCTGCTGTTTTTCCATAACATTCTCCATGGGCGCTCTCCTTTAAATCTTACTGCATTTGGTGATCTTAGAGCCTCCACTACTAGAGGTGGAGCTTTCAAGTTGCGCCTTCCTAGAGCTAAACTCAAGTGCAGGTCTAACTTTTTTACCAATCGTGTCTACGCACAGTTCCTCAAGTTGAGCAGAAAGAAAAGTGTTCCTGTAAGTTTTGAGGCCTTCAAAAAGTATCTCGATGAAAACCTAGAGGCTGGATGAATTACTAGTAGATTCTGGCTCTTTTCCTATGCTCCTATTCAACTTTCGTTCCTTTGATGTAATTCCTTTATTATCTTTCAATTAACTTTGATTCTTAGCAAATGCTACTTTTATACCCAGCTGCCATACTCGATAGAGCTTTACTATCTGGTGCGCTTTTACTCGGTGCAATTGTTTGTCATTTTTAGATTTTATTTCTGTATCACATGAGATGCCTCTGTAAATAAATAAGATTTTGGTATTAATAAGTAGGTATATAACTTTTTTATCATTGCGCGATGTGTCGTAATGCTCAGTACTTTACCTATAAATTGAGTATTTTCTCGGTTTGGTCTTATCATGTATTGCTCGGGGTGAAAAGTTTCTTCTTTTTGGAGCCTTCTCCATTCGATGGTAGAACGCTTGCTCAGTGCGAATGTTTTTCTTCAAAAAGAAAATACCAATTTGGAGCGTGATTTGCTTAGCGGAAAAAAGCCTATTTTGAAAAGGTAGTTCCAATTCGAAACTTCTGATGCGCTACTGTAATGTACTCACAAAGTAAACTACAGTTGAAAATTAATTGTTTTGGAACATTAGTAAATTAGACATGGTAATCAGGGCGCAGAGGCAATTCATTTGACTGTGAATTGGTATATTTTATATGAACTGCGTCACTTTACGATTCCCTTCTATTGATTCTTCAGATTCTCCAGTTCGTCGCAACGGTCGCAAGTTTGCCTACACCAGAATGCGGTTGAGTCTCTTTGTGAATCGCAGTATCCATATTGTTTCGCTCTAGGACACATGGTCGGATCTGGTGCGACATCTTTGCACTCACAGAGTCCGCAACTTTTCTGACAGAATCTTAGAAGAAGATGGCACAAGCCTTTTTTTGCATTCCTGTCACAATTGGCTAGATGATCTTTGCAGTCGACCTGAAAATTACCGGATTTACTCATTGGGAAAAAAATTATTGTATAATCATTAATTTTTTATTATTTTTTTTATTTTCATGTGAATGTAAATGACGTGAGCTATAAACTCATACTGCTACAAAGGAATAGCTAATAAAAAGTCGTGCGTAGATGCTCCTAGGTCAGTCCTTCCACTCATTGATATGACGGTTGTGAGCAATAGCTACCTAGTCAATAGGAAAATGATTGGGCAAATTCCCAGCACTTAGCAGTGATCTAAGACATTATTTGGATGCATACGAATAAAGATTAGCTGAGGTAAGCGTCAGATCCTTCATTGTTCGCTATCCATAATTAAGATTGTTCAAGGTTGAATACTGGTATAAAGCGCTGAAGTTGTGATTGCTGTTTATTTTCCGCCTCTGAAGCGAATCTATTTGCTAGAGGCAATGCATCCTGATAATTATTATAACATTTCCTCCCTGTAGCAAATTTTCTGGAAAGCTTGGTCGCAAAATGTGATCATAAAGACGATAAAGAAACTTCGATGGCCAGCTACATCCTTCAACAACCAGGCTATTTTGCCAAGTCTACCGAATCATTTATCAAGTAGTCGTCAAAATATCAAGAAGGTTCAAGCGTTATCGACCAACCTCTGGAGGTACTGGATCCAATCCAAGACCAGGACCAGCAGGGTTATAAGCTTCGACCCCAGTATGGATCGCAAATCCGAAAATGAGCGACAGGCAAATGCAATGGAGCAGCATATCTGGACGTCATTGCTTGCTCGCATCCGCTTATATTGAGCACTTACATGCACATTGTCACGTACAAAGAGCTAACCATAACAGTAAACACGGCAAGGTCAGTGGGACTTTCGGTGCGTGAGTTCCATTGAGAGCGTGGATTCCATTGAGCGAGCTCCCTTCATCATATACTTCTCTAAAATATTTCTTGAAGTATCTGAGTCTTTTGCAATACAAGCGTCTCACTTCACTCGCTCTAAAACACAATAGTACAACAATGGAAATTAGTATGTCTATGCTTTCAGAGCCACTCAACACAGCATGCTTCTACATACAGGGGGCAATAAAAAAAGACATTCTGTCTCCACATTCAAACCGATTAATCACACTCTGCTAAATTCTGAAACGAATGTCTCAAGTTAAAATGAAAGAGCACATTCCATTTCATAAAATAAACTTCATATTGCCCTTCAAGGTGGACGAAATCGGAAAAATTAGCACTAAAAACATGGTGTAGTGGTCGTGCTCAATGGGTCGTGGACGGACCCCATACCATCACGAAGTTTTCTG